CTCGGGGCCCCCCGGCCTGGAGGCGGGTCCGTGGGGCTCGGGGCCCCCCCGGCCTGGAGGCCGGTCCGTGGGGCTCGGGGCCCCCTGGCCTGGAGGCCGGGAAAAGGAAGAGGACGACGACGACGAACAGCAGCAGCAGAGGATAATAGGGGAAAAGGAGGAGAAGGACGACCAGGAGGAGGAAGTTGAAGAGCAAAAGAAGTAAGGAGGAGGAGAAGCGCTCAAGAAGAGAGCGGGAGGGTGAGGAGGAGCAGAAGAAGTATGAGGAGGGGCGCCGACATGAATGAAAAACCCTGGCCTGGAGGCCGGTCCGCTATAGCACCCTGGCCTGGAGGCCGGTCCGCTAGCACCCTGGGTCCGTGGAACCGGCTGGGGAGAGAGAGGAACGGCGAAGAACCAGCTGGGGTAGCTCTCGCTGGAGCTGCAGCTGGAGCTTTCTGTCGGGCGCGATCCTCGTGACAGTGAAGGAACACAAACACGCATGGAACCAAACAAGAATGCGCCGCCAAGGCGATAGGGAAGAGCCCAGGCCTGGAGGCCGGTCCGCTGGGCCCCCCCCGGCCTGGAGGCCGGTCCGCTTGACTCGGGGCCCCCAGGCCTGGAAGCCGGTCCGTGGGGCTCGGGTCCCCCCGGCCTGGAGGCCGGTCCGTGGGGCTCGGGGCCCCCCGGCCTGGAGGCCGGGCCGTTGCCTACTACTACTACTACTTGTCCTCCTCGGAGGCGCGCGTCCGACCCGAACATCTAGTAAACCCATATTGTAGTATATCGTTTCCCGAGCTGTGTGGCCAGAAAACGCCCGCCACGACGCATATACTTTAAGATTTCTCGATGCGCGAGTCGCCCCTGGGTGCGTATCAACGTTTGTTGGTTGTGGTGAGTGAGCACCTTAGAGGAACAAAACATGCCATCGACATATAAACTTTGGCGCTCCGTGCAGATTTCTTAGATCTGCGCTGGGCCCCGCTGGTGGCGCCTCCGGCGCCGCCCCTGGCGCGCTCCGCGCGCCAGGGACGGGGGTGCAGCGCGGATCCAAGGAAATCCGCGCGGAGCGCCAAAAGCTCACGTGTACACCGGATTTGTTGTTTTTCCTTGAGTGTCGTGGTTGGGGTGGGTGAGCACCTGGCGGAAATCGAACCGAAAGGCCTTCGTCGGGTAGACGTTGGCAAACCACAGTACCCCCTGCTGCGCGGCCACCTTCAGAGCCACGCTCGGGCGCGCCCGGGCGGCTGGTGCGGCCCCCTGCGCCGCCGCGCCCTTCCCGCCTCCGGGAACAGCGCTGGCGTCATCGTCCCGGCTGCCCGCCTCCTGTGCGCCCGAAAAAAACACTTCTGTGCACCACAGCCGGGCCCGGGCCAGAAGAGCATGCTTCAAGCACGCGAAGCCCTCCACCGGCTAAGAACGTCCAGAGGTGCCCTTCCCTGGATGCACAAAAACGTCCAGCAAACACGAAAACACACTCGGGTACCCTCCCCAGGACCGACCTCGAACTGTTGCCTCGGTCCGACTGTATTGCCAAGAAGCCCTGGGTGGTGGGCGAAGGTCCTGGTCGTGGGTCTGGTATACAAAACTCCTTCCCTGGGGGCGTGGTTTCTGCATGCTGACCGTGGCCCCACGGGGTGGAATCTGAGTGGGGTGGGGAGGGTGTGGTATACGAAAACACTTGAGGATCCTGCGCCGCGTCGAGCACCCTTTTGGACGCACAAAGTGGATGCGGAAGAAATGGGTACGATTCCCTAGAGCAACTGTTGTCCAAAACCGACAGCGGCCGCTGCTGGGCAGGCGGCCTTCTGTCTCAAACCGACAAAGCCCGCGGCGGCGGGGGCAGCGAACCCTGTCCAAAATGAACAGGAAACGCTGTTGGGAATCGTCAAGGGAGAAAAAATAGCCTGACGAGAGCCTAACCATATGCAGGTGCGCGTACCGCAATAGTGACTCACATTTTCGGTGGCGATCCTTATGAGGCAACGAACCGTGCTAGGGGTGTGCCGGCATGAATGGCGTGGTACACAACGCGAACGAAAACGATTGATCTGAATACGTAAGGAGAGTGAGCGCGGGTCCATCTGAGCGCGAGCTCGTCTGACTGTGCATGAATATGCGTGTGAGCGAGTCTACGCGCATGAATGCGAGCATGACAAAGCATGGTGCAATTCTATATGAATGTCAATACTTTGACAATGACTGCCTCTGAATACTCGTGACGCTGGGCGTGGCCGCCGCAAGGAGCTTCCCCGGGACTCCCCGGCGGCATCGCCCGCGCGCCGCGACGCCATTGTCGGCGCCCCCCCCCGCGAGGATCGCGCCCGCTTCCTCCCCTTCTTTTACTCCCTCTTCGCCCGCGCACTCAAAGTCCAAGGCTGCGGGCGCAACGCAGCGCGGAGTCCCCGCGACGCGCGCAGGGCGCCCCGGAGGGGTCCCAGCGACGCGCGCGAGTCGTCCGTTGCGCGGAGCAAAGAGAGCTAGCTGGCTGGCTGATAGCGGGCAAGGCTCTTGCCGCTGGGCAAAGCGACGACAGGCGAGCGAGGCGTTGGGCAGAACGCAGCACGGAGCCCCCGCGACGCGCGCTGGTCGCCCCGGAGGGGTCCCAGCGACGCGCGCGGGTCGTCCGCTGCGCGGAGCAAAGGGAGCTACCTGGCTGGCTGGGACCTTCGGTGGGGCTCCATATGGGGCCACGAAACGCTGTACTGGGTGAGGGAGACGCATGCGGACTGCGCGACGGGGACCTTCGGTGGAGTTCCCTATGGGGCCACGAAACGTGTGAGAGGTGTGCCGAAATGAATGGCAGGGACGCGTGCGGACTCTGCCACGGAGACCTTCGGCGGAACTCCTATGGGGCCACCAAGCGTGTGAGGGGTGTGCCGAAGTGGGTGTGCAGGACGCATGCGGACACTGCCACGGGGACCTTCGGCGGAGCTCCTATGGGGCCACGAAACGTGTGAGCGGTGTGCCGACATGATTGGCGGGGACGCATGTAGACTGTGCAACGGGGACCTTTCGCGGAGCTCCTATGGGGCCACGAAACGTGTGAGGGGTGGGCCGAAATGAGTGGCGGGGACGCATGCGGACTGTGCCACTGGGACCTTCGGCGGAGCTCCTATGGGGCCACGAAACATGTGATGGGGTGTGCCGCAATGTATGGCGGGGGCGCATGCGGACTGTGCCACGGAGACCTTCGGCGGAGCTCGTGTGGGGCCACGAAACGTGTGATGGGTGTTCCGAAATGGGTGTGCGAGGACGCATGCGGACTGCCCCACAGGGGCCTTCGGCGCAGCCCCTATGGGGCCACGAAACGTGTGAGGGGTGTGCCGAAACGGTTGTGCGGGGACGCATGCGGACTGTTCCACAGGGACCTTCGGCAGAACTCCTATGGGGCAACGAAACGTGTGAGGGGTGTGCCGAAATGGGTGTGCGGGACGCATGCGGCCACACCCACTGGGACCTTCGGTGGAGCTCCCTATGGGGCCACGAAACGTGTGAGCGGTGTGCCGAAATGGGTGCGCGGGACGCATGCAGACACATCCACTGGGACCTTCGGTGGAGCTCCCTATTGGGCCACGAAGCGTGTGAGGGGTGTGCCGAAATGGGTGTGCGGGACGCATGCGGGCACACCCACTGGGACCTTCGGCGGAGCTCCCTATGGGGCCACGAAACGTGTGAAGGGTGTGCCGAAATGGATGTGCGGGACGCATGCAGGCACACCCACTGGGACCTTCGGCGGAGCTCCCTATGGGGCCAGGAAACGTGTGAGGGGTTGGCCGAAATGGGTGTGCGGGACGCATGCGGGCACATCCACTGGGACCTTCGGCGGAGCTCCCTATGGGGCCACGAAACGTGTGAGGGGTGTGCCGAAATCGGTGTGCGGGACGCATGCGGGCACACCCACTGGGACCTTCGGTGGAGCTCCCTATGGGGCCACGAAACGTGTGAGGGTGTGCCGAAATGGGTGCGGGACGCATGCGGGCACACCCACTGGGACCTTCGGTGGAGCTCCCTATGGGGCCACGAAACGTGTGAGGGGTGTGCCGAAATGGGTGTGCGGGACGCATGCGGGCACACCCACTGGGACCTTCGGTGGAGCTCCCTATGGGGCCACGAAACGTATGAGGGGTGTGCCGAAATGGGTGTGCGGGACGCTTGCGGGCACACCCACTGGGACCTTCGGTGGAGCTCCCTATGGGGCCACGAAACGTGTGAGGGGTGTGCCAAAATGGTGTGCGGGACGCATGCGGGGGCGGGCGGTGGCAACACCCCACTGGGAACCTTCGGCGGAGCTCCCTATGGGGCCACGAAACGTGTGAAGGGTGTGCCAGTGGGTGTGCGGGACGCATGCGGCACACCCACTGGGACCTCGGTCGGCGGAGCTCCCTATGGGCCACCGCAACGTGTGAGCGGTGGGCCGAAATGGTGTGCGGGACGCATGCGGGCACACCCACTGGGACCTTCGGTGGAGCTCCCTATGGGGCCACGAAACGTGGGAGGGGTGTGCCGAAATGGGTGTGCGGGACGCATGCGGGCACACCCACTGGGACCTTCGGTGGAGCTCCCTATGGGGCCACGAAACGTGTGAGGGGTGTGCCGAAATGGGTGATGACGACGATGATGATGACGATGATGATGGTGGGAGGAAGGAGGAGGGGGAGGAGGAGGAGAGGAGGAGAGACGCGGGCCACCGTCTCTTCAAAACGAGTACCCAACACCACAGGATGGTTGGGAAATAATGAACGTAGACTTTTGGCTCTCCGCACGGATTTCTTGGATCCGCGCTGGTGTCGCGCGGAGCGCGCCAGCGTCGGCGCTGGAGGCGCCGCCGGGGGGGGCCAGCGCGGATCCAAGAAATCCGCGAGGAGCGCCGAAAGTTTACGCTCATGCCGTGCTTTTCTTCCTCGAGGATCTGCGGTTGGGAATCGTACCCATTCTCTCCGTCCCCATTTCGTTCGTGCCGAACCAGGGGGGATGGGCGAGGGTCCTGGACGTGGGATTGGAGCACGGAACTCTCTCTCCCTGGAGCGCGGATTTGGCACACTGAACGTAGCCCCGTGGGGTGGAATCTGACTGGGGTGGGGAGGGTGTGGTATACACAGAACACTAGACCCAAACATGCGACGTCCTCATCTTTTCAATACGGGGCCCCTGGAAGTCCCGACCCTTTCCCCGGGACCGGTTTTTCATCCTGAGTCGATGTTTGACGGCCCCGAGGCCCGGCAAAAGCTCCTGGGAGCCAAAAACAACGAAAAACCTCCCGTCCCGTCGTGATTTTTGTTCACGGCGCGAGGAGGTCCGGGGATCCTGCGCCGCGTCGAGCACTTCGTCCAGGGTCGCGACGGACGCCCGCGCCCGGACGCCTGGGGCTGGCGCTGCGGGCTGTGGCGCCCGAGGCGGCACGCACCGACGCGCCGGCGGGGCCGCGAGCGCGGCCGATGCTGCCCTACCGCGGCGCCGTGCCGCCGCGGCGCCGTGCGCGGGCACGGCCGGGGCGAGGAGGCGCAGCATCGGAAGCACAGGCCGCGCGCCTGAGAATCTCGGCTGCCTCACCTGCCTCCTCCTCCTCCTCCTCCTCCTCCTCCTCCTCCTCCTCCTCCTCTCTGCCCCTCCTCCTCCTCTCCTCCTCCTTCCTCCTCCTCCTCGCCTCCTCCTCCTCCTCCTCCTCCTCCCCTCCTCTCTCCTCCTCCTCTCCTCCCTCCTCCTCCTCCTCCTCCTCTCCTCCTCCTCCTCGTGTCTCCTCCCCTGCTCCTCCTCCTCTCCTGCTCGTCTCTCCTCTCCTCCTCTCCTCCTCTCCTCTCCTCCTCCTCCTCTCCTCCTCCTCTCCTCCTCCTCCTCTCTCCTCCTTCCTCCTCCTCCCCTCCCCCTCCTCCCCTCCTCCTCCACCCCTCCCCCCCCCGACCCCCCCTCTCCTTCCCCCTCCCCCTCCCCCGCCTTCCCTCCCCCATCCGCATCCTGCATCCCCCTCCCCCTCCCCCTCCGCTCCCCCTCGCCTCCGCCGCCGCCTTCCCTCCTCACCTTTCCCTCTCCTGCCCATCCTCCTCTCCTCCTCATTCTCCTCTCCCTCCTTCTCCTCTCCTCCTCCTCACCTCCTCTCTCCTCACCTCCTCTCCTCCCCCTCCTCCCTCCTCCCTCCTCCTCCTCCTCCGCCTCCTCCTCCTCCTCCTCCACCTCGTCCTCCTCGTCGATGGGGTCGGAGTGGATGTTGTCGGAGGATTTCGCCGCATCTCCGATACATCGGCGACGTCCCTCCCCTCTTGGCGGCGAGCAGGGGAGGCGCAGCATCGGAAGCACGAGCCGCGCGCCTGCGAATCTTGGCTGCCGCCCTCTCCTCCTTTTGACGACCAGCCAGGCCACCCAACCCGACGACCCGAATTTCGGGTCGGGGGGGGGTACGGGTTCCATGTGATGTTCTCCGAATGCCCCCCGACCCCCCCCCACTGGAGATGGAGGGCAAATTGAGGCCTTCGGGTCGGGTTGGGGTGGCTTGGTGGATGGTGACCTTTAGAAGAAGAACAAGAAGGATAATAGTAATAATAATAATAATAATAACAATAATAAGAAAAAGAAACAAGAAGAAGCAGAAGAAGAAGAAGCAGAAGAGGAAGAAGAAACGCCATAAACATGAACTTGTGGCGCTCCCCGCGGATTTCGTGTGGCCGCGCTGGACCCCCTCCCTGTCGCGCGGAGCGCGCCAGCGGCGGCGCCGGCGGCGCCGCCAGGGGGGCCCAGCGCGCATGCGAGAAATCCGCGCGGAGCGCAAAAGTTTATGCTTATGGCATTTGTTCTTCTTCGACTCTTGGCGGCAAGCAGGGAAGGCCAGAGCTGAACGAACGCATTTTGCCATTCGCGGCCATGACCAGGATGGGCGTTATGTGGATGGAGAGGGGTGGGAGACGGGAGGGGGCTTAACGGACCCCCCCCCCGTCCCCCTGACTGTGCCCCCCCCCCTCCCCCCCCAGACTGTATGTAGTGTCTGACGCACTGCAGCAGTGCCAGGGACGCACTGAAGGGGGGGAACGTTACGTTGTTGTGTGTGTGTGTGTGTGTGTGTGTGTGTGTGTGTGTGTGTGTGTGTGTGTGTGGTGTGTGTGTGTGTGTGGTGTGTGTGTGTGTGTGTGTGTGTGTGTTGTGTGTGTGTGTGTGTGTGTGTGTGTGTGTGTGTGTGTGTGTGTGTGTGTGTGTGTGTGTGTGTGTGTGTGTGTGTGTGTGTGTGTGTGTGTGTGTGTGTGTTGTGTGGTGGTGTGTGGGGGGGGGGGGGGGAGGGTAGGGGGCGTAACGCGCGTCATGGCCCAGAGGGTAACTAAACACTCTGAATGAACCCCCTCCAGTGCATCAAAGGGCGGCAGCGCATGACCAAATGGCGTCAGGTCCCTTGTAGTCCTTCACCCTCAGCTATTAAAGTTTAAACCCGAAAGGTCTTAAATAAACTCACGGACAATACTGGGAATTTAATTCATTCTTCCGCGGGCTTATTGACGGATTGGAGCTCCAACAATACTTGGAAAACAAGAATCCCCCCGCGGCGGCTACCGTACAGGCCTCCGCTGAAGTCGTCGCCTAGAGGAGGAGGGAGAAGGAGGAGGAGGGAGGAGGGAGGGAAAGGAAGAGGGAGGGGAAGGAGGAGGAGGAGGAAGGCGTTCCTATTCTCCGACGAGGGCTTAGGGGCAGTATCCTGCACATTGAAGATTGAAGTAACTTCGCGGTTAGCACTACGGGCCCGGTTCTCGAACTTTGCGTGTACCTTCAATTAGAGCGGCGGTGTTTAGAGTCGCTGGCTCCCAGTGGTGACTTATACACCGCCACCCTTCCTTGCGGCCCAGGAGCGATCCATTGGAGGGTGTCTGTGTATACTTGTTTGTGACGGAGACCTTCTCTATTGCATAATAGGGCTGCAACGCATGACCAAGTGGCGTCAGGTTCCTTGTAGTTTTCAGCCCCCATCCCTTCAAACTTAGCAGTGCGGGGCCCGGCTCACAAATTCCGACATCTTCTCGGCGCTTCGTGCGTTCCTCACACGATTCTCGAGCGCTTTCCGCGGGACTCTCTCTCTGTCGTGGCCAGGGGCGCCCCAGGACGGGTGGAGAGGGGCAGCATGGGCCCCCGAGGGGCCTCCGAGACGGTCGAAGAGGGCATCGAGTCGCCGAGAGATCGCTCCCCAAGATGGCCTCCAGACGGCCCAAGGGGCCCCCAAGACGCTCCGAGAGCCCCGGGAATCTTTGCAGGAGGGCTCCGAGAAGCAGCGTCCATCGCTCTGGCCAAGGTCTTGGAGCGAGTTCAGCGTTCTCGGCTTTTCAGCCTGCCGCCGCTCCAAGACGGCCCAAGGAGGCTCCCAAGATGGCCACGACACGGCCCACGAGGTCCCCAAGATGGCCCAGGAGGCCCTCAAAACGGCCCGAGAGGGCCCAGCAGCAAGCCCAGGGCCCGAAACGAAGAACCCGAAGTGCCACTTCGAGCCCTCCGCCGAAAAAAGGACCGCCGAGACCGCTAGCAGCCGCCATCAAGGCCCTCGGCCCTCACTAGGCTCTAGGAAGGCCCCCCAAAGGCGCAGCATACAGTAGGGGCTCGGCCAGAAGAAACCTCCGCAAAAAACCCAACCCTGAAATCCGCGATTTGTTCAGTGAAAACCATGTTTGTCGATCGAAACTCGTCAAGCTCTTATTGGGGGCACATCGACATCCAAGAAACCCAGGGCACCCTGGCAAAATCCAACTGGCTTCTTGGCACACGCCCCCACTGTAGGCCCCAAGAGGCCCGAAAACGGCCCCCACTGAATGACTGACAAACCGTACGCCAAGCGGTGCGTGGGCATGAACGCTTGCCTAAGGAGATCGGCTACGCGCAAGAGTGACCCTGGGTAAGAGTGACCTTTGGTGCGCGGCTTTTTGGGGGCCGCGGGGGAGCCAAAAGCAAGCGCGCAAGACGTCTCTGCTGCCTCGCGTTCGGCGATCGGGGCACCCCAGTGGGCCCGCACCAGAGGTCACTCCGGCGAAAGGTCACTCTTACGTCTAGTCGAGGAGAAGAGCCCAGGACCAAGGTACACGCCGGGCCACTGCCGTCGGCTCCCAGCGAGCACCTGTGCCTGTTCGCTGTGGGACCATGGGCACCACAAGCGGGAACGGCGCGCAATCGGGTCACGTTGGGAGGAACAAGAGGAGGAGGAGGAGGAGGAGGAGGAGGAGGAGGAGGAGGAGGAGGAGGAGGAGGAGGAGAAGGAGGAGGAGGAGGAGGAGGAGGAGGAGGAGGAGGGGGAGGAGGGGACTGCCCCAAAGCGGCCTTAAACTGCCTCCAAGAGGCTCTGGAGAGGCATCCCAAAACACCCCAAAAGACATCCAGGAGGACTCTAACGGCAAACCCAAGCTCAGTGGCGGGTTGGGCTCAAAGCCTACAAATCTGCCACCCCATGTCGGCTTGCCACAAAAAAACACGGCGTGCCAAATATCACGTAATCGTCGGTTCAACCAGCCAGCCATCCGGAAGGACGCGAAATGACGCATAAAGACCTCAAGGTCCAAACAAAAGTCGCCCCAAGACGGCCAAGATGGTCCAAGATGACCAAAGATGGCCGCCAAGACGCCTCCCAGACGGCCAAGATGGCCCAAGATGGTCCCGAAGACTGTCCCAGGATGGGCCGAGATGCCCCTAAGATGGCCCAAGATGGCCTCAAGATCGCCCAAGAAGGACCACAAGGCAAGAGGCCTCCACGAGGAGCTCCAGGAAGGCCCAAATAAGCCACCATCATTGCCTCTCCATAGGTTGATGCAGGATTCTGGCGTTCGTTCATTTTCAGCTTACCGGCGGCCCAGGATGGCCCCAAGACCGCCAAGATTGCCCAATGAGCGCCCAAGAAGCATCCGAGATAACCCCGTGTCAGCCCAAGAGGCCCCCAAGGCGGCCCCAAAGGGGCCCCAAGACGGCCCAAGAGACCCCCAGCACGCTTAAGATGGTCTCCAAGACGGCCCTGAAGAGCCCCAGGAGGGCCCAGGCCAGGCCAAAGAAGCTCCCAAGACGGCTTCCGACGCAAGACCGCTAAACAACAACAACAAAAAACATGCCAAGAGGGCACCAAGAGGAAGCTCTCCAAAGGCGTCCCCAAACGGACTGAAAGAGCAACACGTTGCCCCATTTCTCATTGGGGAAAACGATAATTTTGGCACGTCCGCCTCTTCTGCGACCACAACGTCCAAGACAGCCTAAGAAGCCTCCCAGGTCGCCCCAAGACGGCCCACGAGGACCCAAAGAGGGCTCGCAGACTCCCCACGACCGCTCAAAAACCACAAACCAAAACATGCCAAGATGGATGGACACGAACCGCCGAAAGATCGATCGAAAACGCCCAAGCTGGCCCCCAGACGGCCCAAGAGGCCACCGAAACGCCCCAAGAACCCCTCCAGAGGCGTCACAAGGACGGCCTCAAAGAGTAACAACCGCCTTATTCTCAAAGGGAAACGTGCATGTTCAGCACATTCGCCTTCTAAGCTCACCACGTCCAAGACAGCCTCACGAGCCTC